GTTATAAAACTTGTCATTAACTTGGAATTTGGGAAGGGATAGTTACAATAATTTGTGATCTATACGTTTATATACATTATATTTAACAAGAAAAGTTGAAATATTGAGATTTGAAAAATACTGAAACTTCCTTATCTTTTTTCTCCCCCTTTCTCATTATGGAGTATATTAACTACTAAAAAGCTAGATCTGGGTTGATGTTGTATAGACAACTTACACTCAATATATCAAAAAATAAACTTAACCATCTTTTCTCCCTCCTTCCTTCCCCTCTCCTTCCCTCCTTCCCTTCCTTTTTTTAAGTTTCTTTCCTTGGTTACCTATGATTGGTTACCTACTGTTGGCAGGTACAATACTAGGGAATGGGTATGCAATCATGAGTAAGATAGTTACAATCCCTGCCCTCATGCAACTTACAAACTAACTAGTAGACATATTTAACAAACTTATTATTTTACAAATTTAACAAATTAATTACAGAAACAATTATATCAAAATAGAGTTGTTAAGTGTGATGAAGGAAAGCTCAGAATTCAATACAAGTAAATAGTGTGCAGATAAGATGGAAACCTGATACAGTCTGGGGAGTGCCAACTCTGAGCTGAGACATGAAGGATGAAGTGGGGTGAGGAGGTTTCTAAGTAGAGCTAGCATAGTTATACTCAGATTGATGCATCTTTTTTATTTTATCTGTTTCTTTCTATACACAATCATCCAGTCACCCAGGCTTAAAATCTTCACATTATTTTTGACACTTTATTCGCTTTTGCCTCAACAAATAATCAGCTGCCTGCCCAATTTTCTTGATTCGGCATGTTCTTTCCTCTGTGCTCATGAATGCCTGAATTCCCATTCTCACTACAGTAGTTATGTCCTTCTTTACCATTTTCCTACAGCTGTATTTTTTCTTTCATTCAACACATATTTATGAGCACTCTTGTGTGCCTGGACTTTAGTTAGTTAGTGCCAGTATTACAGAACTGAACATGATAAACATGGTTGTCACAAAGCTTACAAATGGAATGCAGTGCTGTGGATCTGGTGCTGTGATAAAGTAGGGACGGTGTGCTAAGCCACAGGGAAGGCCTCCTCTTCCTAGAGGAGGAGTGATTTAGACTGAAGCCTGAAAGGTGAATAGGAGTAAGCCAGGTACAGGTGAGACAGTTTGATTGTATGAGGAATATCCAGTCAGAAGGGACAGCATATGCAAGAATCAGAAGGTGTGAGTAGGTGGAAAGTAATGATGTAATAGAAGTAAGCTGGTATCTATCATCCTAAATAATTTAGACTTTTGGGGCACCTGGGTGGCTCAATTGGTTAAGCATCTGACTCTTGATTTTGGTTGAGGTCATGATCTCTGGGCCATGAGATTAGGCCCCAAATTGGGCTCTGCACTCAGTGTGGAGTCTGCTTGGGATTCTCTCTCTCCCTCTCCTTCCTCCCTGCTCCACCCCCTGTGCACACGTATGCACGCTCTCTCCCCCTCTCTCTCAAATAAATGGTCTTTTAAAAAAATAATAATTTAGACTTTTTCATAAGAACCCTGGGAGCCACTGAAAGGTTCTACACAGGAGAGTTAAGGAAGCAGAAGCATTTGGGGACTAGAGTAAAGGAGGATGCTAAAATAAGATGTAAGAAAAGGAAAAGGTTCTGTGAGGAAGATGATGAATTCGTTTTGTTTTGTTGTGATTTCTCCTAACTGGCCTTCTTACCTTCAGTATCTTCCCCTTCCATAGCATCCAGTCATCTCGTGTGATGCTGCCAGATTAACTCCCAGGAACACACTTCTGATCTCAATTTAAAGAAGTTTAATGATATATTTGGTCATGGAATAAAATCTGAATTCCTCACCCTTTTATTTAAAGCTTACAATGAACTGGTCCCACATCTGTTTTAAAGCTTGGGTGGCTCAGTCGTTAAGCGTCTGCCATCGGCTCAGGTCATGATCCCAGGGTCCTGGGATCAAGCCCCACATCAGGCTTCCTGCTCAGCCAGAAGCCTTCTTCTCCCTCTCCCTCTGCCCCTGCTTGTGTTCTCTCTCTTGCTGTGTCTCTCTCTGTCAAATAAATAAATAAAGTCTTTAAAGCTTGGTTTTTAGTACTCCGCTTTATGTCTTCCTGTCCATAACCATGCACTCCACACTCTTGAAGCTTTCCCACAACCAAGCCTTTGTCCCAGGCTCCCTCTCCCCTTCCTGTTTGCTTACATACTTAAACCCTGTCCTCCTCCAGGTCCTTACTGAGATGTGAACCCTCCTACGATAACCTCGCTTGTTTCCACTGAGAGTAATTCCTCTTTTCTCTGAATCCTCAGTATGATTCAGTTCACAGTATGATAGCATTTGTCACCTCCCCCATGTGATAGAACTATTTAGAGAGGCAAGACATGAACTTGGGAACTCAACTGCCTGGATTCAGATCCTAGCCCTGACATTTCCTGGCTGTGTGATGCTGAGCACATCTCCTAAATTCTCTGTGTGTCATTCCTCCATTGCAAAATAAACAGTCCTACTGTATAAGGTACTGTGGGGATTAAATAAGTAAATACTGTAAAAATGCTTAATTTTGTGTCTAGCAATAGTACTATATAAATATTTGGTATGATCATGCCATTATTTTTATCATGTACATGGAGCATCCTCTCTTCTAAACTATAACTTGAGGACCTAATCCACATCTGATTTATTATAATGGCTTCTAAATTGCAGACTAAATAAATAGTGAATGAGTGAATCAGAATCACAATGATTAGTGAATCCTAATTGGACTTTTCACATAGTTTATTTTGAAGATAACATTTATTTCTGACCGACTCATTTACAGTAACAAGCCCTCAAATTCTTCATTTGTGAAATAAAAATTTGAAGCTATAACAGTAGTTCCTGAACAATTCAAGAGCAGTTCTTTCCTCCAAATATTCAGACTTCTGTCTTACATTCTTCACCTTTGCTTACTCATGCCCTTAATCATTGTTCGGTGTGCAATGGAAAACTTTGTAGTAAGTCACAGGATTTTGTAGATTCCAGGAATCCACTGTGCTAGAATAAACTCTAAAGTCATTTCTAGTGGAAATATTTGAGATTTTTGTATATTCTAGACTTTAGGTCTCTCTCTCACTAGTTTCTAATCTGTCATTTCTCTCTGCCATGAGAAGGAACACATATCCCCTAACCTCTTAATCTTCTACCAAGTTTTCTCCATTTGTTTTTTTTCCCCTAAATTTTCCCTTCTTCCTTCAGCTCAGATTCCTTACTAAACAATACAGCTTATTTTGCAGAACTTATAATTACTGCTGGATTCTTGTGTAAAGGGACTGTTTCTAAAATATATGAGCTAGGGGTGCCTAGGTGGCTCAATCGTTTAGCATCTGCCTTCAGCTCAGGTCATGATCCCGGGGTTCTGGGATCGAGCCCCACGTTGGGCTCTCTGCTCAGTGGGAAGCCTGCTTCTCCCTCTCCCACCCCCCCTGCTTGTGTTCCCTCTCTCGCTGTCTCTCTCTGTCAAAATAAATAAATAAAATCTTTAAAATAAATAAATAAATAAATAAATAAATAAATAAATAAAATATATGAACTAAAACCTAGAACACACATTTACAGAATTTAACTTATTTTGCGAAAATAGCAAATAAAGGAAATGTTTTTGTATCAATTCTTGGATAACTCCAAGCACTTTCCTGGTAGAATGAATTTTAAAATCACATCTTTATCTGCATCTTTCAGCATAGACCTAATGAATTAGAAAATTAAGGACAAATACTACATATACATAAAGCAACATTATCTCCTGGCCACACCTATTTTTACCTTCCTTTGATTTCTTCTTAATACCAGCCTTATTTCCACTCCTTGAGAATTTAATTCTAATGGTATTGAAAGTACCTAGTTTAATATCTTTATAAGGTAGAACTATTTGAGAAATACCATCAGAGAGTTGTCGGTAATGTCATTCCTGGCCCTGTTGGAGAGTAGGGCCCCACTGGTAAGATATCAGCAAGAAAATGTCAGCACCCACCCCATGTCACCCAGCTATGCTTTATGTTTCCCAATATTTATATCTTTGGGATTTAAAAAAAAAAAAAAAAACCTAAAATAACACTCAGAGTTTTAGGAGTGAGTATATTTTTCTGTTATGATGACCTTCTTTTCAGAAAAATCAGTTCAGGCCTGCCACTCCAGCATAAGAGTAAAAGTTTACATTCTTCAACAACACTTATTCTTTAGATTTCTTGAGCAGGGCCAAACCTATTCCTGTTCTATGAGGGCTTGCTCAAAACCACCAGTAGCATATGAAAGGTAACACATACATTGCCTTGCACATGCCTTTTGACTGCCCCCACCCCCACCCAGAATTGACCACTTGTTCCTTGTGTCCCAACAAACCTGCCAGATGTTTATCACAGCACCTTTGCTACGTTAATGCAATTCCTCGTTTACAGGTCTCTCTTCTCTTTCTTATTGGCTTTGTATCTACAGCATCTAGTATAGTATCTGGCTCATGGTAAATGTTTAATTAATATTTGCTCAGTGAGAACTCTGGAGTGAGAAGAGTTAGTGAGGCGATTGAGCCAGGTACTAAGTGGTAGATTGACTGGGGAGTACGATACAGGATAATCCTCTCACGGCTGGTTCAGACAGGGGAAAAGTACTGCTGGAAGTATGGAGGTGGGAATCAGTGAAGCTCCAGTGGAGTATGACAATGGAAGACAGCCTGGCTGGTCCATCTGGGGAAATAAAGAGAGTTAAGTTTGAATGTGCCAAAGGCTTAGAGACAATTGATAGAAACTCCTGAGAGTCAGAATTAAAGAACTTAGGTTTGATTTGAAAGCAATAGGAAGACTGTAGTCTTTTGATTTGGACCATGAATGATGAAAATAATATTTTAAAGTGTTATTTAAAAGGATGTGTGCTTATGTCAAAATTCATATGTGAAATATCGATTTTAGTCTGTGGGTCATCAGTTGATCCTGAAGGTCTCTTTCTTTCTGTTCTCATCCCACAGGTTGTTATTTTGTACTTTGAGCCAAGCACATTTCGCTGTATTCTCCTCAGATGGGTCCGTCTTCTCGGTTTTGCTACTGTTTATGGAACTGTCACTCTCAAGCTTCACAGGTATATTGTATTTCACTAGTTTTCATTCCCATGAGAGGATCAAAGTGTTTGTCTTAGCATGTAATTGCAAGCTGGGTCAGCCACTTAAATGGTTTAATTTCAAGAATTTAGACAGCAAGACAGTACACTTTTTTTTTTTCATTTTCAAGGCAATATCATTAGGATTCTCTAGGAAAATCTTTAATACAACTGAATTTGAACAACATATTTCAATAAAATGTGCCATTGGGTATGGAAAATTTAATTCTGAATAAAAAAATAGTTTAGAATGAATTCAAGAGAGTATTTACTAGCTAAGAACAGGAAAGAATACAAAGATGATACAACTAAAGATCCAGGTCCAGAGCTCCCAAAGAATCCTTATATAGTAGAATTCAGCAGTCCGCTGACTTGACAGAGACTACTGTTCTTCATTCATGAATTACATGCCCCAGGGTAATCCTGCTGATAGTCAATGGGTGAAGTTCAAAAAAATAGTGTTCTTGACTTTCCTCCTTAACCAGTGTGCTCTAGTGATTATCAGCCTTGTAAATTAGATAATGGGGTAAATGCTCTTATACTTTCAAAACCACCTACTTTTCTTAATGTATATGATAAGTATGCGGAACAAAAAGGCATATAGTGCATTACCTATCCACAAAGGGCTTTCCTTTGCCTCCTCTTTCCAAAGCTCTCTCAATGCAGTGATGCCAAAGACCACTGGAGAGAGAATGTAATTTCTCCCTCATGATAAAACTGCAGCTCTATAGAGGAAACCCTTTATGCTGATTAGCTTTAAAGTTGTTTTTAAACATAGTAAGCCATTCATATTCCCATGCTAATATGATCATAAGTGTTTCTCAATAAAAGTATTTTAATATGGCTCAGACAACAGTTTATCTTAGAGCCGTAATATGTGTTATATTTGTCCTTAAATATTCCCCTTTCAATCTTTCTTAAAATGTGATCATTTTACTGTCTACTACACAAGAATCTTGATTTCTTTTTTGGGGTTCTTGTTTTGTTTGTTTTGTTTCATTGGTACTTACTTATTGGGAATGCTCCAGAGTATCTTTTTGGAATAAACATAAATATCCTTACCTCTCAAGATTCCTTTCTTACATATGTCCTATAGTACAAAGAACATTGGACTGGATGTCAGGAGATCCAACTTAAATCTCATTTTAGCCTCTAACTCTAGGAAATCATAGGCTTCTATATCCTATAAAAGGAAAAGATTAGACCAATCTCTAATGTTCTTCCTGACATTCATTTTATTCTGTCCACATCACAGCACACTTTGCTATTATGTCCTTGTAGTCTTCAAGTATCTTCCCATTTCCATTCCTTATACAATAGCTATTTTCAACTGATGCTCACCAAAGGAAATGAGTAATCACTGGGAGCCTATAACAGACAATAAGCCTTCTAGAATTCCTGAGAGAATGGGTGACCTCTTGAGATTTAAAAAATGATCCCTCTCCCTATGAGTCTAGCACTTAGCATCTCTTGGGTCCTCTATTACATAACACAGTTTGTTTATTTAATTATCTTCTTCTTTTTTTACCTAATTTACTTTCTCTTTGAAGTGAGGGTCTTACCATTGAATCCCCAGCCCTTAGCACAATGACTGATACATCGTAGGTGTTTAGTACATATTAGTTGATTGAATGAATAAAAATGTCAGATACAGACTTAGAAGCTGTTTCCAACAGTTCTCTCCACACATAATGCATTCACAGTCCCCTGACTCACTGGATGTCCCCACATTTCTAGAACATATAACTCTGTGGTCTGCAAGAAGCTGTTTGGTGGGATGCAAACACAGTATTAAATAGCACTGAATCATGTCATGAGAAAATTACTTCCATTCAGAAGCTCTTTCCATCCTGATTATTTCCAAGAGAAAAATTAGTGTGGAACTAGTAGGTCTCTAACACCTGCCAAACACTTGCTATCTCCCCTTGCAACAAAGAGCAGATCAAGCTTCAGGCTAGAGCTTTCCATTGCAATGCTACCTTGATAGAACTTAATGACCATCTCACTGTATTTCTATAGTTACTTTCTATTTCTGTATTATCAGTTTTTCATTTAAAGTAGCAATATAAAGTTTCCTTTAAAATATTTTAAATAGAAATTGATTTAAAGAACATATAGCTAGTACACAGACATAGGCAGAAATCTTGACTGTGGTATGCAAATGACTGGAATTTGAGAAACTAGTCCATCATTCTTTAGTTTATTTCAAAGACTGGACTTAAAGCTATTTTCTATGTCTTTAGAAGTCAATGTAGTAAAGAGTTACCACTGAAGGTTTAAATCAAGTAGAAACTGTTTCTAACTTAATGAGCTGAATTTTTCTTATCCTTCTGAACCATATGGCTTTATATTATATTATGTTTTTTCATATTGCTTAAATTTAACTGATTCCAGTATTGTTTCCGTGTATAAAACTGAACAATTAGCATCCCAGAGGAATGTGAATAACCCACTGGAAGTGACTGGCTGAATGTTTCTTGTTCCCCATTCTTAGTTGTGCATGTGCCTGTATTTATATATTTAGGTATTTGTTAAGTGAATGAATGGGTGGATGGTTATGGTGAATGCAGCTGCCATGGGTGTCTTTGGTTGGTATCTTTTAGATTCAAGTAACATGTGGACTTCCAAGACTTGGTAGTAACATGATAAAGAGGAAAGACATAAAGGGGCGCCTGGGTGGCTCGGTTGATTGAGCATCTGCCTTCGGCTCAGGTCATGATCTCAGGGTCCTGGAATCAAGCCCTGTGTTGGGCTCCTTCCTCAACAGGTATTCTGCTTCTCCCTCTCCTTCTCCCTGAGCTTGTGTGCTCTTGCTTACTGTCTCTCTCTCTCTCTCAAATAAGTAAATAAAAAACAACCTTTAAAAAAATTTAAAAGGAGGAAAGGCATAAATCCTAACAAATCCAAATTCAAATTTCAGTTCTGCCATTAACTATTTATACAACCAAGAATAAATTATTTTAACATCTGAAAATCAGTTTTCTCACCTCACCTGTAAAGTTGTTGTAAAGGCTAAACATGACTAGAATATGTGTAAATATATCAAGGGAATGGGGTTACTATGGCTGAATTAAGCAATAAGGAAATTCATTGGAAAAATATGGAGAAAGGCATGGAACTAGGCCTGACCCAAGATAGATTGAGGGATCAAGATATCATGGTGAATGCCATATATCATTTTCATAGAAACTTCATTTTTTTATCTCCAGATTTTTTTCAAAAAGTAAATCCTACCTCTCTAGGCAGAAAATTCTAAGGAATTTATCAGTACAGATACATAAAGTGACTGTTAACGTCCCTTGAGAATAGGACGGCAAGAAAGACCTGAGTTTTTGTTTTATTTCCCTTACTTCCCTCAAGGCTTAGTAAAATTATGGAACATTTCTTTCTCCATCTCCTGGTTTCTCACTGATTGATGGTAGTGTTTACAGAATTCCAGTAGCCCTGAAAACTTGGCGCAAATATGAAAAAGGAACAGGATCTCACGCTGTCACAGAAATGATACTATTAGCCTGGAAGGGATCTTAAAGGTTTCATTCACTTTTACCAAATCTTCCACTTTTTAATTTAGTGGTCTCTCCCTGTGTTTGAGAATTATACAGTCAGAGACTACCATGCCAATCCAAAGGAAAATTGCAAAAGAGTCTTTTGTTTATTAACAGTGCAATATAGGGGTGTAACAAGTTGGGGGCAGGGTGAGAGTGGTTTGCCTCTTCACAGAGGAGTCTTTTATCACTGACGTTTAGAATCACTATCACAGGATGGTGATAAAAAGCAGACCAACTTTCAGTAGTCTTTATTATTGCCCTAAGTTCTCTACAGGCAAATGGGGTCCCTTTGTTACCTATACCCTAGGGCAAGCCAGTCCCACTGCCCCACCTCATTGGCAGGCCATTCATGCACTGCAATTTATTTGAACCTGAAACTGTTTTTCCTTTTTGGAGAAAGAAGGAAGAATGGTACAGGTTTTAGCTCTCTTAATATGGATCAAAGAGAAAATAAAGCTGAAGTAGGAAAAATGAAGAAGTTTATTTGTAAAGAGTTTGCTTCAGTAACCATACAGAAGTTTGACTTGGGACACGAATGATACAGAACAGATCTAAAAGAACATCTAGTTCTTTGTGTGGTTGTGTGGGCTCACAGAATACTTGCTAAGCTAGGTTTGTTTGTTTGAAGAAAATTGGTAAGGCAATATCTCAAGGTTCAGAAAAGCCCAGTATATTTTCAGGAGGCAAAATGAGGAAATGTTTTAAATGAAAGGGGGTGGAGAGAGATTAAGAAACTTAATGCTAAAAGAACATTTTCCTATTCCCCGTAATATGGTTTCTGAAAACAAATGGCCTTTTTCCTTTTTCCAAGGCTAATCAAGAAAAAAACAAAAGACTTTTTTATACTATATTTTAAATGAATATTTAAGCAAGCTGTGAAAAAGCCTTCTTCTGGCTCTGGACTAGGGATTTTCATTTCATACATTATTCAGTACTCCTTGCTCTAGATACAACACAATACATAGCAGTTTTCTCTACTGTGCCCATTAACACCAAATATTTACACTTTGTGGGAAGGTTTTGTGTTTTATTTTATTTTATTTTTTTGGTTGTTTCCTCCTAAATTTTAAAAAGTGACTGGAAGTTACCTGTATTTATTTATTTTATGTATTCTTTATAAGGATACATAAAATACAGTAAGATACCTTAAATTTTTGAAAGAACAAAAGAAAAGCAAGTTAGGACTGTCTAGAGAAGCCAAGAACTCATAACAAAATGAAGGTTGCCTTCTTTAGCTTAACTTATGATAACCACTGGCTGGAAGGCAATTTGAGATAGAGACTCAGGCAAATTAGACTGTCTATTAGCTGCAGAACCATCTGCCTTAGCAAGGTGTTGGTTAGCCCTCATTTATGAAAGCCAAAAAAAATAATAATAAAAAAATAACAACCTTTGTTCTTAGATGGCTGAGCAAAATGCCTGTGGGCGTACACAGATTCTTCTAAAAATCTTGCATTTACCCCAGCTCACAGATTAATGTTGTTTAAGGTCCCGAATCATGGCCCATAGGGGTTTGAACATGGAACACTTTCAAAACGGTTTTAGTCAGTTGCCCACCTCAGCCAAAATAACATATCGAGAACACTTCCTTTGACCATGTAGCCATGGACATTATGTTTTGACTAGGAAATAGGAAGAGTTTGCCATATGGATGCTGGTAATGATGGGGATTTCAGGTCCTCCTTTCTGCTGAGCTCACTGTGATGGATCATCTTTTCTGGCTGCTGATCTGGATGTAGAATACCTTCAAGTGAAGAATTACTCATAGTGACATTTCTTAAGAACCATATTGTCCCAGAGAAAAGAGACTCATTCATAAGCTTCTGAGGAAGCTCTCTTTCCCTGTCAGGGTGCTATTCCGACATTGTTAATGAAAAAAAAAATTATTCTGACACTTGTTAAACAATGGTAAGACAGACTTTATTCAGGGGCACAACAACATGGGTTTTACAGCAAGGGAGAGAGATTGGGTTCAACTCAGAATACATAAAGGAAACATGGGGATTTATAGTTAAGGAGCAGGATATGGTTCAGTGGATGAAATACTACTAAGACAAAGCATCAGAGGCAAGGAGAATTTCTGGCTAAACCAACTTGACAGGAGTCTTGAGAAAGGCAGGCGGATGTGGTCTCAGATATCAAAGGTGGGAGATTCTCACTAAGCTGACTTAGTAAGATTTTTGCTACAATTGGGCAATGCAAAGACAAGGGAAGTCCAAAGCTTGGGCCCAGTCGAGCAGAAGACTCAGAGGAGGCTGGCTAAAGTTTGATTACGGAGAGAATCTTTGTCAAGAAGTAGCAAGTAGGTTATAGTATACCATAATGACTCATGCTAATGCACAGAACTATTTGTGTGCTATCCTGATTCTAATTAACTTTCAGAAAGTGTGTAGTTACACACCTTAGTTTTGCAGGCTCTACATTTCTGTCATTCTGATCATTCATACGCTTGGAAGGACCTAGAAGAAGAGACGCCCTTGAAACCTGAGAAATAAGCATATTGTGCCCTGTCACTTCTCCTTCCTGTACTCATCTCCCCTTTGTTGGCATACTCATAATCTGTCCGGAGCTGCCTGAGTCTGAGTCTTATGGGACTTTGCATACAGCCAGTCCTTATGGATGGCTCCCCAGAAACCATGAAAACAGAATCTCCTAAGCTCCAATGAATTACTTTTTGATTATAAAATCTCTGACTAACTAGAGGATAAGACAATTCCCTCTGCTCATTCCTCCCCACCCTGACCCTTCTAATGACTTCATACTGCCCTATCTAGCTTCCTGTAGGACCCCACCTGTATGACCCTAAATATTGTTATGTTGGTTTATTCTTGTCACTTTCAGAAGCTAATTAAATGATGCTGGCTTGAATAGCTTCATTTATGAATTAATATGTTCAATTTAATCTACTTACAGGAAGTAAAAGATTTGGGAAATATAAGCATATTGATAAAAGATGTCTTTTATTAACTAGAGGTCTATGTTCATATAGGACCTTTAAAACATCAATGAGTAACCTTTTTAAATGCAATTAGAAATAAAAGTAAAATTCATTTTTTAACTGTTCTACTTTTCAGAATGTATTAAATATTAGACAGGAATAAAATGGGAAAGTATCCCACTCAGAAAACTGAAGAGACTTTAAAGCTTTACTTATTTTGTCTGACATCAGATGTCCTACTTGATTTTTTTGTGACACATAATTTTGAAATACACTTTATTTTATAACATCTAAATTCAGAGCTTTTCAATATTAAACTTCTTTTTTTGTTTTTGCTATATATATATACATATATATATACATGCTCCAGTTTCTTGTCACAGCATCAACATTTTACATCAAGATTTCTGGAAATAGGTTTGAATTAGAATATATAGTTTAGGGACTATGTGGCACATTGGAAACATGGGGTTTTTTTATTGCCTGGATTGTATGGTTTCGACTTATCTATGTGTGCGTACAATTGTGTGTGTGTGTGTGTATGTGTGTTAATCAACATTAAAATTATGAATAAAAACCCATCTGGTAATTCAGAATTAGTACTTCCCAGACTAGTTGATAAATACTTTATCCTAATGTTCTTCATTAGAAACTAACAAATCCTGTATGCCCTCAAGTGGAAATGTTTCTTTTCCTCATGTGAAGTAGATAAAAGAGAGTAAGTGGGAAATGAGATTCATTCATTCATGTAGCAAAAAGAAGGGCAGCCAGGCTTTAAAGGCCACAGTGAGTGCTCACTTCAGCAGCTCATATACTAAAACTGGAATGACACAAAAAAGGTTAGCACGGCCCCTGCACAAGGATGACACACAGATTTGTGAAGCGTTCCATATTTTTGAATAAAGACCTGCTATAATAAATATATTAACTTAAACAGGAAGGAAGGTAGGAAGGAAGGGAGGGAGGGGAGGGAGGGAAGGAGGGAAGGAAGGAGGGAGGGAGGGTGGAAGGAAGGAAGGAAAGGCAGGCTAGCCACAGTGAGAGAGTCTGCTTTTGCAAGCCCTTTACTGCCATCCCCCACTGCTGTTGTCAGGACCCAGAGGCAACGGCTTGGCTTGAGTTATTGGATAGACACACCTGTGTCCTTTCTGTCATACCATCAGTTCCCCTGGCCTCCTGTTACTCTGTTGCCCGTCACCTAGCATTTACATGTGTCCAGTCCAGAATACCTGAGTTGTGTTTACATTTTCATTCAGTTCAAAATAATTTCTAATTTGAATTACTCTTTGACCCACAGATTATTTAGAAGTATTATTTAGTGTGCAAATATTTGAGGGATTTTCCAAAAATCTTTGTTTTTGATTTCTAATTTAATTCTGTTGTAGTCAGAGCGCATACCTTGTATGACTTGAATCCACTTAAATTTAACAACTCATTTTATGGCCCAGAATATAATCTATCTTGGAAAGTGTTTCATGGGCACTTGTCTTCTGTGGTTTTGTGGTTGTTCAATAATTTTGTTCAAGTTTTTTATATCCTTATTAAGTTATCTCTACTTGTTCAAATGAGAGAATAGTTGGAAATTTCATATTTGCCTGTTTCTCCTCGTAGTTCTTTCAGTTTTTGCTTCATATATTTTGAAGTTCTGTTCTTAGATACATAAGCATTTGGAGTTTTTAGGTCCTATTTATAGGACATGGACTCACGTAAAGTTTGTGATTTTGGATAGTATTACCTGTGTGATACCTTCTAACATGCCATTGGCTCACCTGGCCTCTAGTTACCATCACGCACACCACACACAATTCACATGTGTCCAGTCCAAAAAACTGGATTTGAACTAATAAGGAACTTAATACTGGAAGCACAACTATTCTAGAAATTCCTAGATAGAAGCAAAGTACCAAAACTGAGTCAAGAAGATATAGAAAATCTAAATAGATCTGAAAAAATAAAGACATTGAATTAGTAATCAAAAATCTCCCCCCACCACACACACAGCCCAGTACTAGATGGTTTCACTGATTAATTATACCAATAATTTAAAGAATTAACACTAATTTTTTGCAAGCCATTCTGAAAAATAGGTAAGACAACATTTCCTATTCATTGTAAGAAGTCAGTATTACCCTGATAGCAAAAATAGATTAAAATATATCACAAGAAAACAAAACTGCAGACCAATATCTCTTATGAATATAGACATAAAAATCTCAATCCAGACAGAATCCAGCAACCAAAAAGAATTATACATCATGACCAAGTGGGATTTAGCCCATGAATACAAAAATCAATCAATGTAATAGAGTATATTAACATAATAAAGGTCAAATCTCAACTAATGCAGAAAAAGCATTTGACAAAAATCCAACACACTCTCATGAGAAAAACACTCAGCATACTAGGAATGGAAGGGAACTTCCTCATCCTGATAAAAGTTATCTGTGAAAAATCCACAGCTACATCCTGCTTAATGATGAAGGACTGAAGTCTTTCCCCCTAAGATTGGGAGCAAGAGAAGAATGTTCAATCTTGCTACTTCTATTCTACGTTGTCCTGGAAGTTCTCACCTGAGCAATTAAGCTCCAAAAAGAAATAAAAGACATCCAGATGGAAGAAAGAAGTAAAACTATTTGCAGGTGACATGATCTTCTGTAGTGAAAATCCTAAGGAATCTACCAAAAAACTATTAGACATAATAAACAGGTTTAGCAATGGTGCAGTATACAAGACCAATATGTAAAAATCAGTTGTATTTTACACACTAGCAACAAACTAAAACTGACATTAAGGGGATATTTTCATTTACAATAACATAAAAATAAAATATGTAAGAATAAGTTTAACAACAGAGCTACTACAAAGGTGCTCTGAAGACTGCAAAACACTGTGGAATGAAATTAAAGAAAACCTAAAAAAATGGAAAGATCCCTTATTCATGGTTTGAAAAACTTAGTATTTTCAGATTGCTATATTTCCTAAATTGAATCAGCCTAATTCCTATTAAAATCCCAGCTAACTTTTTTTGTAGAAATTGACAAGCTGGTTCTAAAATTCATACAGAAATGCAAAGGGACCAGAATAGCCAAAACAATCTTAAAAAAGAAGAATAAAGTTGGAAGACTCACACTTCCTCATTTTAAAACTTACTTCCAAACTACAGCAATCAAGACAGTATGATACTGGAATAGGAAGAGACACACAGATCAATATCAGGTTTCTCTAGGCAAAAGAATGAGGTTGGACCTCTAAATCTACACCATATACAAAAATTAATTCCAAATGGATCAAAGACCTAAGTGTAAGACCTAAAACTGTAAAACTCTTAGAAGGAAACATAAATATTCATAGTCTTGGAGAAAAACCCAAAGCACAAACAAAACAAAAGAAAAAAATAGATAAATTGGACCTTAACAAAATGAAAAACTTTTGTGCATCAAAGGATACAGTCGAGAAAGTAACAAAATAATGAGGGTGGGAGGATGGGCAAAATGAGTGAAGGGTAGTGGGAGATACAGGCTTCCAGTTATGCAATGAGTAAGTTACAGGGATAAAAGGTACAGCATAGGGAATATATCAATGATACTGTAATAGCATTGTATAGTGACAGATGGTAGCTATACTTGCAGGGATTATAGCATGATGTATGAAATTCTCAAATTACTATGTTGTACACCTGAAAGTATTATAACATTGTGTGTCAACTATACTTCAATAAAAAATAAAGTGACAGAATGAAGGCAAAAATCATTTATGATAAAAACTCTGAACATTAATGTATAGAGGGAATGTACCTAAACATAATAAAGGCCATACAGGATCTCAAGGCCACAGCTAGCATCCTACTCAATGGTGAAAAGCTGAAAGCTTTTCCTCTAAGATCAGGAACAAGACAAAGATGCCCACTTTTTTTTTTAAGATTTTATTTATTTGACAGAGAGAGAGAGAGCACAAGCAGGGGGAGCAGCAGAAGGAGAGGGAGAAGCAGGCTCCCCGCTGAGCAGGGATCCCAGCAAGGACCCTGGGATCATGACCTGAACCGAAGGCAGATGCTTAACCGAGTGAGCCACCCAGGCACCCTAAGGATGCCCACTTTTATCACTTTTATTCAACATAGTGTTTGAAGTCTTAGCTAAAACAATTAGGCAGGAAAAAGAAATAAAATATATCCAAATTGGAAAGGAAGAAGTAAAACTGTCACAACTTGCAGATGACATAATATATACAGAAAATCCTAAGGACACTACCAAAAATCTGTTAGAACTAATAAATGAATTCAGTAAAGTTGCAGGATATAAAATCAATATACAAAAATTTATTGTGTTCCTCTACTAATAACAAACTATCATAGAGAGAAATTAAGAAAACAGTTCTATTTAAAATTGCATCAAAAAGAATAAAATACCTAGGAATAAATGTAACTGAGACCTGTACACTGAAAGCTACATGTTGGTGAAAGAAATTGAAGAAGACATAAACAAATGGAAAGAACAAAGCTGGAGGCATCATGCTCCCTGATTTCAAACGATATTACAGAGTTACAGCAATCAAAACAGTATGGCATTGGCATAGAAAACAGTCACAGAGGGACACCAGTGTGGCTCAGTAGGTTGAGCATCCTACTCTTGGTCTTAGCTTGGGTCTTGATATCAGGGTTATGAGTTCAGGCCCTGTGTTGGGCTCTATGCTGGGCATGGAGCCTACTTAAAAACAACAACAACAATGAAACAGAGACCAGTGGAATAGAAGACTATCCAGAAATAAACCCATTCATATATGGTGAATTAATATTCAACAAAGGAAGCAAGAATATACAATGGGGAAAGGATAGTCTCTTCAATAAATGGTGCTGGGAAGACCGGACAGCCACATGCATAAGAATGAAACTGGAGCACTATCTTACACTATACACAAAAATTAACTCAAAATGGATTAAAGACTTGAATGTAAGACCTGAAGCCATGAAATTCTTAGAAGAAAACATAGGCAGTAAGCTCCTTGATGTCAGTCTTGGCAATGATTTTGAATCTGATTCCAAAAGCAAAGGCAACAAAAGCAAAAATAAACAAGTGGGACTACATCAAAATAAAAAGCTTATGCTCAGCCAAGGAAACGACCAACAAAATGAAAAGGCAACCTACTGAATGGGAGAAAATATTTGAAATTCATATATCTGATAAGGAGTTAATATCCAAAATATATAAAGAACTCATAAAACTCAATAACAAAAAAATCTGATTTTAAAATGGGTAGAATAAACATATTTCTAAAGAAGACATACAAATAGTCAACAGGCACATGAAAAGATGCTCAGCATCTAATCATCAGTGAAATATGGATCAGAACCACAATGAGATATCTCACACCTGTAAGAATGGCTATTATCAAAAAGAACAAGAAATAAGTGTTGGCAAGGATATGGAGAAAAGGGAACCCTCTTACACTTGTTGGTGGGAATGTAAATTGGTGCAGTCATTATGGAAAACAGTGTGGAGGTTCCTCAAAACATTAAAAATAGAACTACCATATGGTCCAGCAATTCCACTTCTGGGTATTTATCTGAAGAAAACAAAACACAAACTTGAAAAGATATATGTACCCCATGCTTATTGCATCATTATTTATAATAGCTATGATATGGAAACAACCTAAGTGTCCACTGATTGATGAATGGATAAAAAAGAGGTGGTAGATATAGACAATGGAATATTATTCAGCCATAAAAAAGAATGAAATATTGCCATTGAGACATGAATGGACCTGGAGGGTATTATGTTAAGTGAAATAAGTCAGAGAGAGAAACACCAATACTGTATGATCTCACTTATATG